CGTCCCAGAGTCAGCAAAGCATGATCTAGCAGAACTATTTTCAAGTGCCTTCACTGTCCATTTCCAATTACGTCATCAAGGAAACCTTTACCCAGGAGCATGTACAGCTGACCGAAGAGGGTTTAAGTACTGTTTTACATGCTTGCTTTCTTCTCAAAGAATAATTCTTTACCAGGGAACTATCCTTCCTCCAAATATGTGGTGTCGGCTAATCTCCATATTTCACCTGTCTTGTCTCCTCCAATTGGCCCAGGGTCTCAGTTGAAGGCATCTTTCCTGAAACTTTCCAAATTCAGCCTAAGAGAAAGGGATATACCTTCTGCGGTGATAAGATCATAATGTAAAAGATTGGGGAGAATTTAAGAATGTCATTTCCTATATATGGAAGGAGCTTCTCTGCAGTAGAACAGACCAAAGTCGACACATAAACACTGAAGATAATACAGAAAGATGGAGACACATCAAAATTACAACTAAAGTGTAGAACAACCATTACTCAGAATCGTCAGGAATTGAGTTGATAGGAAGTCTGACAACTATGGAATTAAAGAAACTGCATTCATTCAGGCTGGTAGGAGGGGCAATGATGTGGAATGGGCTGGTCCCACATTCACATGTGCTGGTTAAAAATTTGGAAGGGATATCTTAAGAGTAAGGACTCCCAGCCCCATACCTGGCCCCCTAGCCCAGGGTTCCAGTGCCGGAAACATAAATCCCCATGACTTCTGACTGCAAACACCACTGGGGGTTGAGTCAGTAGAAGGAACTTTTGGAGTCCCAAGCAGTTCCTCTTAAAGAACCCCCCCCCACAGACTTACTCAGACTCACTCCCTCTGAGTTCCAGCACCAGAGTAGCAGCTCAAAAGGCACCAGTAGCACACGGGGAGGAACTAAAGTGGCCGGCATCCAGGCAAGAGGTGGGGGCACAGCTTTCTCTCAGACAGAAAGGGAGGCAGAGGCCATTGTTCCTTCTCTGAGCCCTCCCCCAACACAGCCACAGAGCCAGAAAGTAAGCACCATATCTGAGACTCCGCTAACCTGGCTAACATTGTTTGCCCTGCACTGGAGATCCCCTGAGACTCTATCCCACTCAAATTATGGGCCCACCCAAGCTCTTAACAGAGACTTTTCAATATGAATGGCTTTTTTGGCTCATGCTTCACAACTTCATAAATCTTCTCAAACAACAACTGGCCTCAGTGAGTCCCCAGCCCCCATATCTCTTGCTAAGTGGCCCCAGGCCCAGCACTAGCAGCAGAAGCCAAGATTCACAGCTTAGCTTTGCCTGGGAATCTCCAAGCCCAGTACAAATAGCAGCCATCTCAGATTGTTTTATAGCTCATGCAGGGCAGACCTAAGCAAAACACAGCTGGGGGCTGATCTTAGGAAACCCGAGAGCCTGCACACCTAGTGACAGCTACAGACCAGGTTAAGCACCACCACCCTGCCTCTGCATGATTGATCATTTGTGAAGGGAGGGGGTGGTGGTCAGTGTCACAGCCAGTCCTTGCAGCTGACTGGCCAGGGTAAATCCTTCCCATTCACCTACAAACAGCAATCAAGTCTCGAGAGGCTACAAGAGGTGGGCGTACCCAGCCCACATGAAGAGCGCACCTTAAGTACCCAGCTTGGGTGATAGGGGAGTCTGTGCCACTGGAACCTACAAGACATCTACTAAATAGGTCACAGGACCAAGACAGGGAGTCATAGCAGCTCTACCTAATGCATAGAAACAAACAGAGGGAGGCTGCCAAAATGAGGAGACTAAGAAACATGGTCCAAATGAAAGAACAGTTTAAAACTTCAAAAAGAGAACTGAACAAAAAGGAGATAACCAATCTATCAAATACAGAGTTCAAAATATTGGTTATAAAAATGCTCAAGAAACTCAGTGAGGTGAATTTCAACAGCATGAAAAAAACCCAGCCAGAAACAAAGGATTCACTAATTGAAATAAAGAACAATTTACAGGGAAACAAAAATAGAATGGATAAAGTTGAGAATCAAATCAATGATTTGGAACATAAAGAAGCAAAACACAACCAATCAGAACAACAAGAAAAAAGAATTAAAAAAAAAACAATTGTATAAATAGCCTCTGAGACGACTTCAAGAGGTCGAACATTCGCATCATAGGAATGCCAGAAGGAGAAGAAGAAGAGCAACAAATTGGAAATCTATTTGAAAAAAATAAAGAAAGGAAATTTCCCTAATTTGGTGAAGGAAATAGACACGCAAGTCCAGGAAGCACAGAGAGTCTCAAACAAGATGTATACAGAGGCCCACTCCAAGACACGTCATACTTAAAATGTCAAAGTTTAAAGATAAAGAGAGAATGTTAGAAGCAGCAAGAAAAAAGAAGTTACTTACATACAGGGGAGTTCCCATAAGATCATCAGCTGATTTCTCAAAAGAAACTTCACAGGCTAGAAAGGATTGGCAAGAAATATTCAAAGTCATGAAAATCAGGGACCTACAGCTAACATTACTCTACCCAGGAAAGGTATCATTTAGAATCAAAGGGCAGATAAAGTACTCCCCAGACAAGAAAAAAATAAAGGAGTTCATCATCACAAATTATTACCTGAAATGTTAAAGGGACTTATTTAAGACAAAGATGATCAAAACTAGGAACAATAAAATGGCAATAAATACCTTTCTATCAACAATAGAATCTAAAAACAAACTAAACAAATAAGGACAGAGACAGAGTCATGGATACAGAGAGTGTTTTGATGGTTACCAGATTGGGAGAGGGGTGTGGGAGACTGGGTGAAGAGGTGAGTGGATTAAGAAGTACAAATTGGTAGTTACAGAACAGCCATGGGGAGGTGAAAAAATATAGAAAACAGAGTGGCCAAAGAACTTATACATATGACCCATGGACATGAACAATGGTGTGGGGATTGCCTGAGGAAGTGGGGAGCGTTGGGTGGAGAGGGGCAAAGGCGGAAAAATCACTACAACTGTAATAGCATAGTCAATAAAATATAATTTAAAAAAAAGAAAGATGGAGTCCTGATCACTTTGAGACCCTGATTCCAGTGCCCTCTGAGGCCCAGCAGCCCCGTTCCTGTTTGTCACTATGTGAACACCACTGCTTCTTTCCAAGAAAGTCTTCTCGCTGAAAATTGTCCGTTTTCTACCACTTGCAATCAAGAGGCCTGAGTAGCAGCTCACATCAGCAGTGACTCTTTGACTCTTTCATCCTTACCCTGAAGTTACATTTCTCTTCTCAGCCTCCCCTTCCCGAGAAGAGTCAGCCCAACCTCAGTGCTGCCAATTTCTCCTTGTTCTGTCTATTCATACTTTGAAACCTTGGCCAATATTCTTACTTCCCCATCAACTGCTTCCAGCGGCTCCATACGTAGGTTTTCCAAAGCCAGTTTCCATTTAAAGGTAAATTAATGTGCTATCTACCTCCAGCCACCACCAGAGACTTCAGCTGATGGGGGAAAGGGTGGAACCTAGGAAAATACAGTTTACACAAAATACACCCTGGTGCATTCTCGTGGGCAGTCAGGTGGAGCATCACTACCCAGGTGACCCATGAAAGCCCATCAGCTTGAAGAGCAGAGAGCAGAGGAGTGACCTAGACATGGCACAAATTAACTAACTGTTCAATTGCCTGTCACACTTTGATCACCGCTCTGTCTGGTGGACCTCAAAGAAAGCAGAATGACTAGAGGCTTGGAAGAATGTCATCGAAGTTCCAAGCTGCTCTATAGAACTATCCTGAAGGGGCTTGCAATGATTTCATTGCTAAGGTGGCAAGAATTTCAGGGGCAGACCTGGCTCCTTACACAAACTGCCATTGATTTAACTTCATACGGGAGTCAGACGAAGTAGAAGCAATTTGTTTATTTTTTAAGGTTTAGCATTACATCACAAGCTTGTATAATTTTTCTTATAAAATGTCTTTTCAAGGCGGGTATCCTCAAAGGAGCTGGGCATAATTATCCCAAAGGCACCAGCAAAGATGAAATACAGGTTGTTTTTTTTTTTAATCCAGCAGCCAATGTCCCCTTTGGAGCAGTAGGAGGGCTCTCCTTGTCCTGAGAGATGGCCAGTGTTCTGACAGGGCATGCAGGGTGGAAAAGGAATTCGGTTGCCTAAATAAAGCAAGCACCTTCCTCACTCCTTCCTTGGTGACTGAGGTTTTGACAGTGGCTGAGCCGAACCTTATAAACTCTCAAAGCCTCCCATACTTTCAACCACGATCCAACAGGTGTTTCTAGGCTTTTATCCAGCAGGAAGAAAGTTTTTATTTACCTCAAGCTCTTGTGTTTTTATCTTATTAATGTCTTGCTCCTACTTCTATCAAAACTGCGGAATTGGGGGTTTAAGAATCAGTGGGGCTTGGAACGAGTTAGTCAAACAACCTTTGCCATTTGGCCAATAGCACCCCGCATCCAGACATTGCTTTTTCTTTTCTTTTTTTTTTTTTCTAATTTTCTTTTCTGCCCCCCCTTCTCTTCTTTCTCAGTTCCTCCACTTCTCCCTCCCCTCTCTCAACATATTCAAAGAGTGCCCGAAACGGGTGACAAACTTGCATGTGCTTCCCTTATGACTAAACCCCTGGGCCTCTCGCCAACGTCCCACAGATGGCCCCAAACTTCAGGCACCCCTTTAGGAGAGCTCCTCATTTACAGCCCTGCTCGTCTGCCAGGGCGGAGAAGTGTGGTGGGGAGTGGCGGTGTCTTAGTCCTGGGGGAAGTCAAAGCAGCTTCCAGGAGGAAACCGGGCGTTTCCTTCCCAAGCGCTCTAGCGAGTTCTGGGTCCTGGCCTGGGGACTCCACCCAGCCCCTCCCCGCGCTCTGGGACAAGCCAGTCGCCACACACAGGCACTCGCAGGCCCTGGTGCCGCGCCCTAAGGAGAGCGGCACCCACGGCCAATTGCCATGGAAACCCCGGGGTTCATTCCATTCCCCACCCAGCTGACCCCCCCTTCTCCAAGTGCTGCGGCCAACCGGCTTGTGCGCGTCCCTGGAGCGCACTATAAAACCGGTGGCGCTGAGTAAGGGAGGCGATCTGCGGACCTGGAGAGAGGCGATCGGAACCAATTCAACGTGTAGAAGGTCTCCTTTTGTAAAAGCAGGAGGAAAAAGCCGCAGCATGCAGAGTGGGTCAGTCATGAGTCTCAGCCTGCCCACCCAGTGTCTTTGCCTGGCTTTCCTGCTCCTCCATCTCCTGGGACAGGTAAGTGGCACATCTCTTAGGTGCCCCTGGTTACTTTGCCTTCCTGGGTTGCCCAGGCTGGGTCCCCGGGCCATTCCGCCTTCGACTAATCCTGCTGAGAGTTTTCTCCTTCTTGTCTCTCCCGTCTCCAGGTCTCTGCCACACAGCGCTGCCCCAACCCATGCCCAGTCCGGTGCCCCGAGACGCCGCCGACGTGCGCCCCGGGGGTGAGAGCGGTGCTGGACGACTGTTCGTGCTGTCTGGTGTGTGCCCGCCAGCGGGGCGACAGCTGCTCGGAGATGGAGCCTTGTGAGGAGAGCCGCGGCCTCTTCTGCGACCGCAGAGCGGACCCCAGCGCCCAAACTGGAATCTGCATGGGTAATCCTGCCCACTCCCGCCGATGGACCTCTTGCCCGCTGCTGGCTGGAGCTCTCCCCTCTTTCCTCTCCTTTTCCTCCCCCTTCCCAGATGGTGATGCGCAAGTAATAACAATAATGAGGCTGCAGTAGGTGATGTTTATGGGGCACTCGCTCTGTGCCAGGCATTGCGGGGGGCAGGGGAGGATTGGGGAGAGCGCCGGAAACCAGAGGGGAGAAGCATTCAATCACCTGCACCTAGAGAAGACTCTAGATGGATGGGGGGCAGAGCAGAGTTAAGGGCCAGTAAAGTCACTTCCTTCGGACATTTCCAGGGGGCCTCTTGGGGGTGACGGAAGCGTGGGTTTCCTCACTGGCTCACATCTCCCCTGACTGCAGCCCAGCAGGTTTGTTTTCACACCTCTAATTGTCCTGTTTGAACCAAAGCCTCCCCTGGTCTCCTGGGATGGCTATGTAATCCCTGTCTAGGCTGTGAATAAAATAAAATGCAGGCAACCGACCCGTGTAGGCTGGTGACACTTAATTAATTGGGCAGCAGTTTTCCACGTGGTGCTCCATTTAGTTGGAGGCTGGCCCTGCATCCCTGAATTAGAGGCATGGAATAGCCTTTTACTTTATTCTCTGAACTAATATTGATTTTGTGTGTGTGTGTGCTAGAATGCTAAGGACTGCCAACCCTCTGCCCAATTTGACCAGTTAACCTGTTTGGAGAACATGAGAGCATTTTTTTTTCTTTTTAATTCTAAACTTCTGGGTTACGAAACTCTAAGGAGTTTCTTGCAAGCATAACTTTATCTTAGGGAACATGGCTGTGGGAGCTTAGAGTGGTCATTTCTCAGTTGTACACCTCTTCTCATTCATAAAATGAGCAGCAGGACTGGAGTGTCTTAGGTTCCTTCCTTCTCTGGGGCCCTCCTTGAGGATATCTCTCTACTGAGATAACAACCCAGACTCTCTGAACTAGAAAAAGAACAAGTCAGGCTTTGGATTGTGTGCTGCCAATCTCAAGTAGCTTCCTCAAGGCATTATGTTTTTGCTTCTCTCTCCCACCCCCTCTCTGTCCCGCTTCCCCCATATTCTAGCGATAGAGGGAGATAACTGTGTGTTCGATGGGGTCATTTACCAAAGCGGAGAGACCTTTCAGCCCAGCTGCAAGTACCAGTGCACCTGCCAAGATGGACAGATTGGCTGTGTGCCTCGCTGTGACGAGGACCTGCTTCTCCCCCAACCTGACTGCCCGGTTCCAAGAAAAGTTGAAGTGCCCGGGGAGTGCTGTGAAAAGTGGATCTGTGACGCAAATGACACAGAAGCATTAGGGGACCTGCATGCCCTTCCAGGTGAGAAACTCGGGGTAGCCGAAGGTGATCACGGCACAGGGTACCTGTGGGCAGGAAGCATGGGTGCCTTTTCAGATTTGCAATGAGAAACTGGCCTCCATTTCTGGCCAGTCCTCTGTGGATTCCAGATTGCCCGTGGAGCCCAGCACATCATGGGTCTGAATCCCAGCCAGGAGACACAGGTACGCACAGTTTCTCCTAAAGGGCGGCTGCTGAATTCAGTGCTTCCTTTTAGCAATGGGACTGATTTTGTTTTATTGCATGACTACTATTTATATTTTAGTCCACCCCACTTGACCTTTATTCACATCAGAAAAATAAAAGTAAAAAAAAAAATCACTCTTTCTTTTGTGGATTCTGTAGCTGTGTGCTCTCAAGACCAGCCTTTCTAAAGAATGCTACTTATTGTTGAACAAGTGTCACAGAACAATGTCACCTTTCCAGATGCTGTGGAAAAGGTCAAGTGGACACTTCAGGATCTTTGTTTTCCTTTTTTTTTTCTTTGTTTCATCTTATAGAAGAAATAATTCCGAGTATGGGGGTGGGACTCAAGAGCCAGTAGAGAATGTTTTAGAAGGCAATAATCAGTCATACGATATACACTGGCGGTATGCAGAGCTTTGATTTCTTAGCCAAGAGAGCAGAGAGGAAAACTGCCACATAGAAGAGAAGGTGCGTCCCAAACCATGATATGTCCTGACGCTAAGTGCTGAGACAGAACTTTTGGTGATCAAGGTCCCAGTGTCTGCATCCCACAACCCAGACCACCAGTTCTGGCTCCCTAAGGCAAAGTATGCTTTCATCACTATTTTGAGTCAGTTGGTTCTACTTATGCATCCAATTAAAGTTTTACTGTGACTCTTTTTCTACACAGGTCATGTACTGAAAACACTATAGTTTATGGAATGGTTGTCGGTGATAAACTCTTCTATATTCTTAACATCCCTAAGCTCCTTAAGGACAGGTGATCCTGAGCTTCTTAAGAACAATTAAACAGTCATTCCACAAAGATTTCCTAAAGGCTTACAATGTGCCATGCACTGTTGTAAGTGCCTAGTTGGGGGTTTACAAATACAGAGATAGGTTCTGTCCCCAAGAACACCTGAGTTTTAGGAGATGCCGAGTTGGCAGAGACCTTCCTTCTAATGATGACGAATCCTTTCCTTTGGGGTCCCCACGTTTTACTCAGCCTAGTTGTGTTTCTTTGTATTTCCTTTGTAGCCTACAGGACAGAAACCACTCTAGGAGTCGCAGTCTCTGACTCAGGTGTCAACTGCATTGAACAGACCACAGAGTGGAGCGCGTGTTCCAAGAGCTGCGGCATGGGCTTCTCCACTCAGGTCACCAACAGGAATCCCCAGTGTGAGATGGTGAAGCGGAGCCGGCTCTGCATGGTGCGGCCCTGCGAACAAGAGCCCAGGCAACCGGCAGATAAGGTAGGGGCCTGCAGAAAGCCTCCCATTACGGAAGAGGCAGCCTGGCCTCGTTGGGGTCTGGGCTTTGGAAAATCACCGCGACACTAGTCGAGTAGAAGTTGGTTCTAGCTGGGAGGAAACCTCAGAGAAAAGACAGAGAGGCTCTTGAAGTGAGTGAGGTTACCTTCTTTTTTTTTCCTCTTTAATATATTGAAATATCCCAAGCAACTCACAAGATGCTCCCAGGTAAAGAGACAGGGGCCAGTTATCGTAATGTACCCAGTTGAGAAGGGATTGGCAAATCTCATTCTGTTCCTGGAAGACAGTGGCTACTCAATTGCCAAGTATAGTTGATTTTAGAGAGGTCATTTCTTCTTCTTTTTTAGTTAAATTTATTAGGGTGACATGGGTTAATAAAATTATATAGGTTTTAGGTATACAGTTCTATTCTACATCATCTGTATATTGTATTGTATGTTTACCACCCCAAGTTAAATTTCTTGAGAGACTGACCTCCATCTCCCTAGGGGTCCTCATTTCTGACCTCAGTCTCCTTCAGCCCTTAGGTTCAATCTGTAATGAGCAACAGAGTAGGAATTACATCTGCCTTACTCACCCCCAGTCCCCGGCATCCTACCTGATCTATAGTGTGTACTTGATAGAATGCTGTTGATGAAGAAATGAATGGCTGTCTGGGAATGAGTTTCAATGTTTTAAAAAGCTCAGTGGGACTAGTATATTTGCCAGCATAAGGTTATATTTGCCAAATAAAATAGCACATTTCTTTCCTTTTTTGCTGGTATTATATCAACTCAGTGTGTTAACGCTGAGTATAAGGCATGCAGATCAGAAGCTTGGACTGGTTCCTGATGACATCATAGGCCTTATTACTAGAACCCTAGATAAAGGCAAGGCCCCCAAAATGAATTATTATATGAACCTTGTACAAACCTGAGGCCAAAATAAAACAGTGCCCAGCAATGAAAGATGTGTGCGCCTCTGCCCTGAGAAAATGCCATCTGATGCTGCAGGGTGCAACTCTGGCTTTAAATCCCAGCTTCCCACATGAACCGGCTGTGGGGTCCTGGGCAGTTTTCCTGACCTCTAAGCCTCAATTCCTCCCCCCACATAATGAGGTCATTGACAGTACCTACCTCAAAGATGTCAGGAGGATGAAATAGATACATTGACAAAGTGGTGGGCACAGATTGCTCTGCAGATGTCAGGCATCTTTGCTTAAAATTTCTATTTATTGCTAAAATAAGAGTCTCTAGTAGTTGCATTCATTATATGGCTGCTGAGCTATATGATTTTTGGAGGTCCATCCTAACTTTATGTTTCTTTTACCAATTTAGAAAGAACACCTAGAAATACCCAATCCCTAAAATTATATAAGCTTCCCAACACTTAAGGGAATTCTAACATACATGTTACATGGTCATGTGGGCTCACAAAGCAGTCTCTCTGTCTCTCTCTCTCTCTCTCTCTCACACACACACACACATACATACAAATATACACACACACAAAGGAATGTTGCTGGCCTTGTACTTTTCTGAGGGTGCCAGGAAGAATATACACTAAATAGTAAATGTGAAAAAATTAAAAACAAGAAGCCCTTAAATACTGTCAAGGGCACAGTAATTTCTTTATTAAGTAAGATTTTTCCATGTCATGCCTCTAAAATTTTGCCTATTATTTTTGAACCAAAATTTATCATTTCTCTTGCACCTAGCTTAGTACTGAGATTCTATTTACAATATTTATTCATGGTATATATACTTCCTAAGGTTTCTAGAAGTTGAGTTGGAATCTGGGCAGATAGTAGCATAGTAATCATTACTCTCTTACCCAGAGAGTCTTATATACAAGACAGTGCTTGTCACAGTGCCTACCCCGCCCCCCCGCCGGTCAGCAGCATCACGTAAGAACTTGTTGGAATGCAAATCATTAGGACCTCGGTCAGACCTCCTGAATCAGAAACTCTGGGTGCAAGGCCCAACACTCTGTTTTAGCAAAACTTCCAGATGCCTTTGATGCATAATAAAGTCTGAGAGCCACTCATTTCCGAGAACTCTAAGTCTCCTTGCTGCACAAGCTATGGACTGTGCCTAGGAAGGTCAAGAGCAGTAGAGAAATGTGCCACATGGGTAGGTAAAGAAATCTAAGTGGGAGATAAACCCATCATCGATTCCTTGCTGGATTATCAACATTGGGTTTCTCATCAACCCTCACTAATGGAATAGTCAATAAATTCTCAAGTTACTTTGCCTTTATGGAAAATAACCTGAAATTTCATTGTTTTGAACATTCGTAAGGTTATATAGTAAGTAGAAGAAATGAGCATTGCATCAGAGAAGTTCAATGACTAGATGTTTTTTCCCATTTTAGCTCTTTGAGATTTCATTTTTATCTATAAAACTTGTTCAATTGTTTTGTACAGTAACAACTGTTCCTTGTATGAGTGAATGTTGGTGATAAGCTCACATGAATTAACATTTGAAAAATATTTGAAATATTAGTAGGCTTACAATGATGCCAGATTTCTTCTCTTTCTCTTCATGACACCTGAAGAATGTATTTGGAAAAAACAACACCAAACCCCGTTACAGTGGCTTGAAAATATAGCTTTCCTAATCCGACATATATTTTTACCCTCATGTTCACCTCCAAGGTCAAAAGACAGCTGTGTACAGTTAGCCACAATTTCCACATTCTAAGCAAGAAAGAAAATAAACGGAGGCTGCAATAAAGAACTGCACCTGTCTGCAGGGCAGAGGATTTCCCAGAATCTCCTGGCTTCTGTATCATTGGCCAGAACTTTGTCAAAAGGCCACCCAAGCTCCCAGATATTCTGGGGGAAGCAAATCCTTTTAGATGATCACATTACCCAAACAAAAGTCATGTCCTGTTAGCAAAGAAGAAAGAGCAATGGCTATTGGGCAGGCAACTAGCAAGTTATTCCATACCCCCAAAGTGGTCCTCGGGAAGAACAGCAGCCATCCATACGTCACTCTCTTTCTTCTTTCCTAGAAAGGAAAGAAGTGTCTCCGCACCACGAAGTCCCTTGAAGCCATCCACCTGCAGTTCAAGAACTGCACGAGCCTGCATACCTACAAGCCCAGGTACTGCGGAGTCTGCAGTGATGGCCGCTGCTGCACCCCTCACAACACCAAAACCATCCAGGTGGAGTTCCAGTGCACCCCAGGGCACATCATCAAGAAGCCCGTGATGGTCATCGGGACCTGCACCTGTCACAACAACTGTCCTCACAACAATGAGGCGTTCCTGCAAGAGTTAAAGCCGAACGCCAGCCGAGGGAAAATCTAACCTGGGTCCCTGGAGAAGGACGCACACCTATGAGGCAAACCATAGCTACTGGGTGAGCCATCATCCAAAGTACATGAGAAAAATGACAAGAATCGTGACTTCAGCCCTGAGTCCTATGTGTTTTCTGTGGTCCTATGAGGTCAGTTACAGATGTCTTACTTTTAAATGAAAGATATGATTAACTGTAAACTTGGAATCAAGGTAAGCTCAGGATGGTGCTTAGGGATGATTTGCTGTTCTATATGTTTACTGCAGATGAAAATTTCTATCAATTGAGGAAATCAGATATATATTTGACTGTAGGGACTGCGTCACAGTACCCTTCCCCGATTTTGTTAGGTGTCAGTGCAATTTCGAGAGAATGTCACTATAACAAAGGACACAGAGAAGGTGAGGATCATAGAGATCATGTCATCATACAAATATTTTGCCACCTATGGAGGTTTGACTTGAGGGCACTCTGTTGAGCTCTTTTGGAGAAACTCAACCCTGAACTTCCAAGTCCAAGCTCCAAGGAAACATAGAGCTCTTCAACTTGAAACCCAGAGTCTGTTAGGTTGTTTTTTGTTGTTTAGTTGTATCCTAGGAAAAGAACTCTATCCATGGTAGTACAATGTCACAGTGAATTGAGTGGACTAGTGTGGTACACTGGCTTCACTTCAGACAAATCGACTCCTTTCCGATAGAAAGCAGCGGAATGCAAAACCCCGGGTCGTGCAGAGATGAGTAGGACGGCCCCCCCGCAGGTCTGTACATGCCGCTGGCTGCGAGCTCGGGAGGGTTTAACTCGGCAGAGGCAGTGCGTGCGGCAGGCATCCTCCCCGATCCTGGGTGAGTGAATGGAGGCCCGATGCACCCGGTTACAACCTGTGATGCTTTTTCAATGTGCTTGTAGTGACATTTCTCAAACTAAGACAAGACCGACCTAAGTGGGAGGGCATAATAACACAAATTTTATGGGAGTTCAGAATGTATGATAGACCTGCCCATAACTTACCCTTGGGCGCTAGTTATGCAAACTCACAACAAGACGTGTGGATACACACGCGAATCTAATTTGTCAGGCTATGAAACCGGCTGCAGACTTAAATGTATTACACATTCTCCTAATGTCACCATATGTGTTCAACTTTCCTCCTTTAAAGTATTTATAGAAATATAAATTATGCGTTTTTAAATATTCTTTTTACTTTCTCTACTTGTCAGACGACACTAAATAAATATGATCTTATCAATGTGTGACTCTGCTATTGCTTTGTGCTTGTAAGTTCTTTATTGAAAATACAACAATAAATAAAATTTGCAAATTCAGTCAGACCCCAAGCACAGTGTCCGTTGAAAGCAAAGTGGATACGTTTAAATGGACGTACGACTTCTAATCACAATGAAAACACAAAACAGCTCTTCCCAAGAGAGGGGGGGGGGTCTCTCCACCAAGGCCTCAAATGCTCTCCACAGAGTTGGCTCAAACCAACAGCTCAAGCCCTGATTGTTTTTTTCCTGGACAATCTGCTATCCACTTCTATGTATTAAACATTGAACTTCATGTTGGACCAGTCCAAACTCACCTCTCTGCTTCCGTAGTTAAAGGGCTTTCCATTCACCCAATTACCCAGATTAAAACACCAGCTTTATCTTGATCGGCCTGCCCTGGCTCCAAGCCCCAGGAGAGCCCATCTCCAGGGCAACACAGGGGAGAGCCGTGAGCAGCCGTAACGTATGCGGAGTCAGAGGTAACATAAGCTTCATGCTTTTTAGCTTCTGGCTCCTGCTGGGGGTCTATACCTATTCGTCCCTAATTTTTTTAAAGTTTTCCTCTTCCCACCTTCACTTCCTCAATCTCGGTTTCTTTCCCACCCATCTCTTTAGCTAGTTTCTATTTGCCCTTTCAGACAGATTGGAAAGCCAATGGGACTTCAGAGGAAGTTTTCAAGGGGAGCTAACATGTATCCCATACTTTGTGCTGAAAACTTGACCTCCATTATATTGTTTATTTTGCACTATAGCCTTACAAAGTAGGTTCTCCTACCCATATTACAGTTAAGAAAACTTCTTAAAATTTAAAAACAAATGGTTAGGGGGGTGGCAAGTATAAGGGGACTAAATGGTAATGAAAAGAGAACAATAGAACTTTTTAAAGGAAGTAAAGTAAAAACAAACAGTTAAAAGAAGCTGGTGGATCTAGAACTCAGGTCGAAGTACTTTGTTTCCCACATTAAGCTACAGCACGGACCCACACTGGGTTATCCACAAGACTGCCCTGCATTGTCAGTATGGCAACGTGGGAACATTCAAAGGTCCAGCAATACAGACTTATTACATAAATCCTAGTACACCTGTTAGGCTGAAACGAGCAAAGCAACCTTTATAATGAAAACATCAGAAAACATGTACCCCCCAAAAGGTAAGAACTATGAAAAGCGTGGTTTGGTTTTGTTCAAAAGTATCTATGAACATGAATGAAAAGAGAACAAAAAACTGTTATTTGTGATTGTGTCAAACTGGTCTTATTTCCCCCCCTTTTTGTGATTTTTTACTAACTTTTGATAACTGAGAATGTACTTCCTTTATAACCATGGGGAAAAAAGACTAAGGCTGAATTCACAAATGCCTTCAAGCAAAGTTCCACTCATACCTCCACTCCACTGAATTGGTGGCTCCGTCCAGCATCCAACACATTTATTAATTCATTCATCATTTTGTTTAGTCGAACAAGACTTCCTGACAGCTCCTGTGTGTCTAGCATTGTTTCAGGTCCTGGGAATACAGCCATGAAAAGAAAAAACACAATAAAATAAATAAGTTACCTCATCTCCCTGGAATCTACACTCTGTTGGCCAAGGCAGGCAAAAAGCAATAAATCAAAAAGTCAAACAAGATAGATATCAAATAGCGATAAATGAACTCGAGAAAGATCATTAAAATGGGGTGATCTAATAGAGAATTTCTGGGTAACTAACTGAACTCAAAGTGGTCAAGGAGGTTCTTTGTGAAGAGGTAACAATTTATCTTGGACCTGAAGGACCCAGATTAGGAGAAAGAATCTTCCAGGCAGAGGTAACAGAAAAAAAAAAAACAGTGTCAGGAATAGGCCTGGAGCTTCCTTAAAGAAGATCCGTGTGCCAGAGCCGCTGGTGAGGGCAGAGGGAGAGGGCTCAGATGTGCAGGGCTTGCTGCTGTATTGTACTTCTCACACCATGTTACAATTGATCCTTTAAATCCCAATGCACTAAGCATCTTAAGACCAGCCTTTTGGCCTTCTTTGTGTCTGTCCCAGTACCTGGCACACAGGAGGATTCCACTGTATACCTGTTGAATGGATGAGGAGATAAAAAGGAGAAGAATAAAGGGACTGTGCCTTGATGAAAGATAGAACATTCTTTGAAATGAATGTTAGACTTTTAAGCTATCATTTTCATGATCATGATCACTATGATCTTCATGATAACTACCACTTGTAGAGCAATCTCCACTCATTAACATGCACACATGCATGCACGCCCGCGTGTTATCATGTTATTCCTGAAGTTATTCCTGCGTGTTATTCCTGAAGTTATCATAAAGACAGTTGAAAAATGTGATCTCATCTACAAACCTTGGCTAAGATCTGAACATCCTAGTAAGAGGGCAAGGAGAACAGCATTTGCTGAGCAGAATTCAGGCAGCAGAAAGAGTACCAGCTTGGGAGCTTTGCAAGCCTGGGTGTGAATACCGGGCCTATCCTTTCCCAGCTGTGGCATACTAAGCAATTAGCACATAGCCTCTCAGGCTCAGTTTCCACATGTGTGAGATGAGACCGTAATATTCACAGAGTGACCAACTGCCTTCATTTGTCCTGGACTGAGTGGGTCCCTGGGACTCAAGAATTTCTGTTGTAAAATCAGTGTAGTACCGGCCAAACCAGGACCAGTTGGTCACTTCGGGTATCAACCACGTATTGTTGTAAGATAATATGCATTCATAAACACTTGACTATGCCAGGCACACAGTAGCCCTGCAAATGACAGCTGTTAATATAATAAGAATCCAGTAGGGCCGAGCACTGCCCTTTATTCCATGCATGCCATGCTCAGAGGAAGACATTACTGACCTCATTTTTACGGGAAAAGGCGTCGAAACTCAAACACTCTAATGACCTATTAAGGACACAGTGAACGAAGGAGCTGAGGTTCAAATGCAGGGTCTGCCTGAGCTCAGAGTCAAGGCCCTTTCCTTTTTACAGCGCCATAGCACGGAGGCCAAGTATATTTTCAGCAACCAAAACAATTCCAACCGGTTTCATTTTTGTGCTATTTTCCCAAACTATAAATGTCCTCTTTCAGAAACAGCATTGCAAAGCTGTGAGATTGCTGAGATCATTCTGTGAATGTGAAATTTTGAAAGCACTTATGTAATTGTGGCTCGGTGATAAGGCACACTTCATTGAAAATTTGGGCGGATTTTTTCTTTTCTTTTATCAGACAAGGATTCGATTCAACAATGAAGCAAGGACATTTTTAACTAGGCAAGGAAATGATATGTCCCATACTGATCTGTGCTTGATGAGATTATCAATAAAGCTCTTGGTGGAGATTCTGAGCAGTACGAGATTTCTCTCTGTGTTTCCTTGGCAGCATGGACTCATTGTCATCCTTCCGAGCTGGTTTCACTCCAAAATGCTCAATGTCTTAAGTCAAATCATCAAAGCCGCATATCCTTTTGGCTCTGTGCTGTTGAGCTTAGTTTAAAGATTCATTATTGTTGAAAGCATATTCATCTTAACCACGCCGCATGGTCCTTCCAGGAATAATGTGCTATGCTGTCTGGACCACGGAGGGATCACCAAATTCAATTACCACTTCAGTAACATCGCTGGCCCTCACTGAACTCAATAATGAAGAATTCTCTGCAGTCATCCAACTGAGGACTGTGAATTACTGTTACACGAAGCCAGCTGTTCCAGGGGTAATCTGGAATTGCAAAGGGTAAAGAGAGCAAGGCAGTATCATTCTTCCTAAAGGACGTATATCTTTCCCCTTAGGACAAGAAAATGCAGGTCTGACTTGCAGCCCAGAGAGCTCTACAGAAGAATGTGCACTTCCGTTCAAAGGGCAGAGTTTCACAGAATGAATAGCTCACTGGTTTACTGAAAGGCACTTGGAAAGAAATGTTATATAGTCCAAGAAGAAGATGTTGTTTGGATTTATATTTTATTAGCAAAATCTGAGAAGCACACTCAGCTTATAGCACAGATTCTGATGTCTGGAGGAGGTTACATAGTTCTTCGTGTGGGTTAAATCAAGGTCAAGTGCTCCAAGCTGACCTAGATTTATCCTGCTGAAGCCAGGTCATCCACAAGATCTTTGAAGGACCTTGGCAGAGGGGATCCCAGTAAATTCAAGTTCTAGTTCCTCTGACATTCAGCAGAACCTTCCCTGATACTTTGCAGAGCATCTCAGCCCCCAGGAAAAAAGATAAAAGCTACAAGGGTCCTGTTGAGTATACTCTGGCATCTCTCCAAACTCCATGTCCTTATTCAAGAATCTACTTTCAGTTCACCTTCTCTAAGAAGATTTCTTGACTGGTACCATTTCACCCCTACCAGAACTAGTCATTCCCTCCTTTGTGCCCAATTGCTCCTTATACCATTACTAACACGGCAGCTAAAACACCCTACCTCTGCTCTTTCTTTGCGTGTCTGTCTTCCCCAAGCTGCACAAGGTCATGGACTTTGGTTTTCTCACCCCTGCTTCACACTGTGCTTTCTGTCACATTCCTCTGAACAGCTGAGCCTAATGAACACCAACGTGGGCAATCCAGCAGTTCTGTGACATGCCACAGTTTTCTCTTAAAAATTCAGGTAAATCTTCACTTTTCTTTAATCTATCCATCTTCCTTTAAATATAAAAATGTTTATAATTTAAATAAATAAATAAACATTTAAAATTCCTAGTTGGCTAACTTATTTCATTTTTTCCACCCCAATTTCAAAAAAAAGAAATTGATGCTCCACAATGATATACATTTATACAGAAGCCTTTTGTATCTCTTTGCATGTTTCATATGGTCAGATGAGCAGTGCTAATAAAAATAATGCCAAATTTCATCTCATTTTACGTGCCATTGATTATAAAATGTATCATTAATTTATGTATCAAAAGGACATAAAATTCTGCCAATTTATCTAGGGCATACCATTAGTTATAAGACTATCACACTTTCATAA